GGATGGGGACATGGGGATGGGGGTGATGGAGATAGGAGGGGAAAGGGGACACGGGGGCAGGAGGGGGACACGGGGACAGGAGGGGGACACGGGGATATGGGAATGGAAAGGGGACATGGGAATGGAGGGAGTGATGGGGACAGGAAGGGGACAATGGGGACACAGGGACACAATACTGGAGGTGATGGGGATGCAGCACTGGGAGCACTGGAGGTGGGGACACAGGGACGTGGGGACGCAGGGACATCGGGGACGTGGGCACAGCCCAAGACAAAGCCAGAGGCTGCAGACCCCCCTCCGGGACCCCCCCCCAGCCAAGCCAGGACCGCGAGCAACACCACGGGGGGGAGGGGGAGGGCAGGGGGAGGTGACAACAGGCTCGGGGACAAAGGGGACACGGGGGGGGGGGCTCTCACCGTGCCCAGGCACAGCGGCCGTCCCTGCGGGGCCGCGCTCCCTGTTGAGGACAGTGCAGGGAACTGCGAGGAGAGACGGCGACGTCACCCGAGGTCCCCGAGGCGGGGTGACAGCGAGGGGGGGTGGCTTTGGGGACGCTCACCCTTCTTCTTTTTACGGCCCGGCCGGCCCCGTTTCAGCTTCTTGATGCGGCCGGCGGGGTCGGAGCGGGCGGATGCGCTGTGGACGCTCGAGCTCTCGGCGTCAGATTCCTCCTCTGCCTCCCCGGCGTCCTCGCTCTGCGTGGGGGGGTGGCAGTTGGGGACAACAGGGGGACGTATATAGGGACAAAGGGACCCAGGGATATGAGGACACGGGGACGAGGGGACGTTGGGATGAGGAGATGCGGGGATGAGGGGATTTGGGGATATTGAGGACATGGGGATGAGGGGACGTGGGGTCACAGATACGGGGACATGGGGACGAGGGGACGTGGGGACACGGGTCACAGGGACATGGAAACAAGGGGACATGGGGACAAGGGGACATTGGGATGAGGAGATGCGGGGATGAGGGGATTTGGGGATATCGAGGACATGGAGATGAGGGGACGCGGGGTCACAGGGATACGGGGACATGGGGACGAGGGGA